ACTAATGAAGTCATCTAACTACAAAACAGAAACAGATTTACAGACATAGTAAACAATCTTCTGGTTAATGGGGAAAACAGGGTAGGAAGGGATAAATTTTGGAGTCTGAGATTTGCAAATGTTAACCACTATATATAAAAACAGATTAAAAAACAAATTTCTTCTGTATAGCACAGGGAACTATATTCAAGATCTTATAATAACCTTTAATGAAAAAGAATATAAAAATGAATTTATATTTGCATGGCTGTATATCAGAAATTGACACATTGTTAACTGATTATATTTCAATTAAAACAAATACACTAAGGAACCCTGTTGGAGGTGAAAAAAAACCTCAGAGGATTGAAGTTTATCAACCCAAAAAAGGAAGAGTCCCCCTGGCTCTCCTAAGCTCCACAGGCAATCAGCTCAACAGACACGGAATGAGTGTGCTGTCCTTGCTGAGCCAAGGGGCTGGGACGTGGAGCTGGACAAGGCTTAGGTTTCCCAGCTCAGAGCTTGGCCAGGGAGACACTTCAGCCAAACATTAGAAACACTGGGATTTACACTGTAAAATGTGTTCAGGTGTTTTGAGAGCACGCAGGTTGGAGCAAGTGACCTCAGAAACGACCTGAGCGAGGCTGACATTTAAGCTGGCCCCACAGGCGCACAGGAGTTCAGCTAGTGGGTGAGGAAGCCAGAACCTTCCGAGAAGAGGGAACGGCTGGGCCACGAAGGGGACGGGGACGCTTGCAGGGGGCTGAGCTTCGGAGAGGAGTCCCCACTGAAATCTGGCAAGAGCTCTTGGGGTGGGAGTAAAGTTGGGGGCAGTGAGTGGAGGAGGGTAGTAGAGCGCAGGGAAGGGGCTGAGAGGATCCAAGGCTGGCCTCAGGAAAGGTGCCACTTACCCCACTGGATCGTCAGCAGAACCATCAAACCTGAACAGCACAAAAGAGAAGGCAGATGTTAAGGTGTCGCTCTCACTTTCCCAGGCCCTGTGCAGCTACTGAGGCGCAGCGGGGAGAGGTGGTCAGGGAAGGTGGACTCAGGGTGCTTTCCTACACATTGGGCCTCCTCTGCCCGGAAAGGACCCAGGAGGGCACTGTGTCCATCCTTACACCCCGGCCAGACAGCAGGGCCCCTGCCCTGGCCTGGGCTGGTCCTGCAACTGATGGAAGTTTCCACGAGCTGAGGCTGCTCCTCCCTAGAGCATCAGTGAGGGGAGGTGTGGATTTAGGAAGATTCTAGGAAAACCACTCACTTTTATGGTTTTTAGAGAGAACGTTTCTCTTTTGGAACAAGCAGAAAACCTGTGCTGGGGCTAGAAAGAGCCAGTCTGAAAGGGCTGGGCCAGAGATCTCACCTCTCGGTCAGGCCTCTGCACCTCTGCTCACAGCCACTATTTCCCACGCTCTGCTGCTTTTCGACCACATCCCCTGAGAGGTTGGCTGAGTTACCAACATCCTGGGAGACGTACGGGTCAGCAGGACTCGTTTGAAAATATGTATTTCACCCTCCTGGTGACCTTGGATTTTCCCATCAACCTAATAAAACCTGTGTGAGTATCTGCAAGGACATCCAGGGTCATGGCCCCTGGGCTGCCCTTTGCAGGACCACCAGTACCAGGCTCGGGGCAGAATCCCTTGGCAGTGGGCACCTCTTGGAAAGGCCCAAAAGTGGGGACCAGAGAACACAGAAAAGACAAAACCAGCCAATGTCGAGGTGTTCACTGACTCTGGGCTTCCAGGACGGGAGAAGAAGTCATTTTCAGCCTGTTGAGAAAAGCTTTTCCTGGCAACACAACGGCTTTTGGGCTGAAAGACCCCAGGGGGTGGGGAGCCCACAGGAGCGGCGATCAATGACTGCAAGCCAGACAGAGGGAGGAACCGACTGACCCGCCCAACTTCTCCCGAAAGCTCCTTGCTTCCTTGCGGGCAGCACCAGGGAGCTGTTTCACGAACACAGGCCCCCTTCCCCACAGCTCCCAGGGCCCAGCCCACTCACCTGTGCAGGCCGCAGACCGCACCATGGTGCTGGCTCAGTGACGGACGCCAGCCTGTTTTTATCAGGCCTCCCCGTCCCACGGCAGCCAGGGGTGTGGAAATCAGGAGAGGGCAGAGGGAGGAGACGAGGGGGAGGGCAGGGGATGTGGCGTGGAGGGCCAGGCTGTCAAGTGGCAAGGATTGGGCAAACGTGACACAATGGCCTTTAGCAATCCTTGGTTTTCTGGAACAATCACAGGGCGGAAACTGGACTTTTTTCATTGCCAAACCAGGAGGCCAAGGGAGAGAAGCAGGAAATATTTCTAAGCCTTCTGCTGGACAAGGATGTTTCTGATTTTCTCTGCGTGGACTGGCGAGGACCATGAGCAGCCCTGGAGTGGGTGGGCTTTGGGGGAAGAGAAGCACCTTAGGAGTCAGGGGAGCTGGCTTCCGGAGCAGCCTGCCTGCCTGTTCGCCACGGCCCTCTCTGGAACTCAGGTACCTTCTCTGTAAGATGGCGGTGTTGCAAATATAATCTATATTTCACTACAGTGATTTTTTTAATTACTATCCATTTGACAGTAATATTTGTATATCCACTGGGGAAAAGACATGACGAGAAATAGTGACTACGAGCTTGGTAGTATTTTTAAATGCATGTGTCTTTTAGAAAGAATTGTTTCCTGTGGCTGCTGTAAGAAGCTACCACCAGCGAGGGGGCTAAAACAACAGAAGTTTATTCTCACAGTTCTGGAAGCCGGAAATCTGAAGCCAGGGTGTTGGTAAGGCCATGCTTCCTTCAAAACTTCTAGGGAAGACCCTTTCCTTCCCTCTTCCGGCTTCTGGCGGCTCCTGGTGTCCTTGGCTTGTGGCTGCATCACTCCAGTGTCTGCCTCTGCTTTCACATGGCTTTTCCCTCTGTGTGTCTTCTCCTTTTCTGACTCTTATAAAGACCCTTACCAAAGGATTTAGGGTCCATCCTAACCCAGGATGATCTCATCTTGAGATGCCTACCCTCATTACATCTGCGAAGTCCCTTATCCAAGTAGGGTCACATTCTGAGGTTCTGGGTGGAGATATTTTTTGAGGGGAGGAGGATGGGGTGGGAGGGACACCATTCAACCCACTACAGGACCTAACTGGTACATATTACTTATTCTGTCTACAGACTATGTCGGGTGCATGCATGGACCTCAGGGTCCCGGCAAAACTTTGCAGCTTCTAGGGGACCTGATCCTTGGTCCTTGGCCTTAATGTAAGTGGCCTGGATGGCTTAGTGGGAACGTCCAGGGGCAGCAGACCCCGAAGTCAGGTTGCCTGGGCTTGAACCCCAGTTCTGCCACTTACTGCCTGTGTAACCTCAGGCGCATTTGTTAATTTCTCGGGGCTCCAGTTGCTCCATCCGTAAAGGGAAGTCCTCAGAGGACTGTTGTGAAGGCATTGCCTGCTGGCTGCTGCTATTCCCGGTGCTGCCCGGCCCTGCCACTTCGGCCAGCTGTCTGTGGCTGTCAGGGATCAGGGCCCCAGTAACCTCTGTGAGGTCCCTGAGAGGGTCAGACCTCCGTGCCCAGATGGACAGTCCCTGCGTCCTCGCCTTCCCTTTCACCTGGAAATCCTGCCTGGGATTCTGTTCTGGGTCACCCGAGATCTGGAGATGCCTCAAGTCCCAGGATATGGGCAGGAGAAGGGTGAATGTGGGGGGCCTTGAGGGGCTTCTCCGGAGAGGCGGGTGGCCACTTTATCTTGCTCCCTACCCCCATCTACGTAACTGACCTGTCAGCTTTGAGCTTTCTGACCCAGCTTCATGTCACCAAAAGAACCCTACGCTGTGTGCCCAGGATTCTGAGTCACTCCAGATTCTGCCCTGCCCCGGGTCATCCGGTGTCCCCACCATGAGCGTCTCGACTTTGGTTGATGCAGCTGTTTCTTTTCTTCCCCCTTCCTGCCTCGTTCTTGCTACTCCTTCCTGAAGCAGCCTGCTGTCTTCCTAGCCCTCATCCTAATTTGCAATTATATACCTATTTCGCATTTAACGTGTGTCTCTCTCACTAGACTGGAAGCCCCAAGAGCGGGAACTGTGTCTGTCCACTACTGTGCACTGACAGCCCCAGTGGCTGGCACATTGAATAGGCCTCAACAAATATCTGAAAATATTGAGTGAGTTGACTATTGAATGTTATTTCCTCCATCCCCTCACCACTCAATGTCAAGTACTAAGCAGCTGCTTGATGTGAGAAGTGCAAAGCTCTCCATCAAACCTACCCATCATTAGCAGAAACTATCCTCCCATATTGCAGTTGATGAAAGGGAAGCCAGAGAACTTGCAAACTTGCCCACAACTGGATAAAAGGGAGCCAGGGCTGGAGCAGAGGTTCCCAGGTGCTTTCCTTTCCTACCTGGGCATCTTCAGATGGGCCTGAGCCCCAGGCAGTCATGCTGAAACCCACATCTGTGGGTCCCCGCTACCCTCTGGGGACAAAAGGCACACTGAGCCCTCTCTGATCATGCAGATTGTGGTCTCGCCTGTCCAAACGTCAGCTTGTTTCCTGATTCTGATGGGCCATGTCTCCGTGGAAACTGCTTCTCTCACCAATAATCATAGGTTTGAGCCTGAGGCAGTTGGTACGCAGTGGGTACCAGAACCAAGAGGGGAAGACGGGGCGTGGGTGGTGTGGCCCAAGACCAGAGCTACAGCCTGCGCATCCCGCAAGCCCCCTCCAGCACCTGCCCTCCATATAGGTCCCTTTCCTTCTTTTTCTTTTCTTCTCTTTTTCTCACTCTTTTTCTCTCTTCCCCTCTGTTCTTCTCTCCTTTATTTGTTTCTACGCATAATTATTGGTGTAAAATAATGTTCATTGTATTCATTGAAGTATTAAAAGAGAAAATAAACATAAAAGTACTAAAAGAGAAAAATAAGCTTATGTGTTGCCTATTGGAGCCTAGAACTCCACACCCATTAAAAAGAAATAAAGGTTTCCTCAATATACTGTTAAAGGGGAGAAAAAGCACAGTGTACCCATCGCACATGGCAGGTTGAATGCAGATACAGATATCTATCTCCACTCTCTTCTGAATCCCCCCACCAAAATAGCAGTTAAAGGAATAAAATGGTATAAATCAACTTGCACAAAGTAAATAAACAGAAGAAGGGAACAAAATAGGTGAGATATTGTCAACAAATGTTTGGGAGATGAACCAGAATGAACAAGTGGAGCTGGCTCAGCAGACCTGGAAAGAGCTGAGACCTCAGACTTCAGGTGGGGAATGCACAGGAGCAGGGGAATCATGCCAAGGCACCCTGAAGAGGCACAGGAGTTAGCAGAAAATTGTGAAGTGGGGTGAAGCTGACAGCAGTAAGTGTGAGTGAACTGTTAGACCCTCCGATCTTCTTCTTCATGCCCACAAAACACAAGGTGAACCAGAGTAACTGTCAACTTGGGAACACGTTGCCCAGCAGAGAGCGGAATGGGGATGGGATGAGGAGGATGCCAGACTGAAGACTGAGACTGACAACCAGGGAATTAAATGGAAGTTTCTGACCATGGGATGCTCAGGCCAGCCAGCCCTTCCCTCCACAAGAGCCCCAAACAGAGCATTTAAGAAACTACCCCCAGGAAAACAAGCCAGCCTAAGAGAAAAGTTACCAAAACTCAAACGACATCTTGGAGTCCCCAGTGAAACAGCCATGTCCCTATCCCATCACCCCAAGGTGGGGCCCTTGGAGAAGACGCCACCAAGGCCCGGGACTCCTAGTCATGATGACTCACTATTGTGCGCGGAATAAACACCGGGATCACCAGGCAATTGAGGAAAGATCCCCCACGTGGAAGACAGATCAAAATAAGCAGGAAGAAGGAAGTTGGAGAGATCCAAGTAAGTGAGGGCTGCTGATTTTCTAACCTCAGACAGATGTGTTCCAATGGTTAACAATGAGCATACGTCACTTTTACTTTTATTATTAAAAATGTAATATGCTTGTTTGCTGTACACCTTCTAGATAACAAGGACTGTGCCAGGCACTGGGGATGGAGTCACAGCCCCTGACTGTGCGACTTGCAGCCTACAGGGTTCAGCACTGCTTCTCACCAGGGTCGGTTCTCAGAATGAAAATCCCCTCGAGAGTCACTCATGCTTCAGCCTCTCTTCACGGGTGCAGAGAATTTTCAGTCCCTACTGTGGCCCCTCAGCCTTTTCCTGTCTTTCCCCAAACTTGTTGAAGCTGAGACTCCTTGTTACTCAAGGTTTTAAACGTGCAAGGGGCAATCGACTTTAGCTTGGGGCCTTGGACCAGGGCCTGCTGGTCCCCCTGAGATGGCTCCTACTTGCTTCTGGAGAGCCTGGCAGAGAGGACTGGTCAAAAAATGCTCCATGTGGGAGCATCTTGGCTCTGGCCATTGCCCCATGAATATGAAATCTCAGCTCCCACTCAGGGGATGTGCACAGTCTTCTATTTTGGGTGCTTCCACCCACTCACTGCCTGCTAACTCAGCAACTTTAAGAATCTGCTTCCTCTCCTGTCATCTCCTCAAGGTCATCATAGGATGCTTTATCACAGGCTCTGGGCTGGGCCTGGCAAGACACATCGGATGATGGTCCCTTACAAACTTGTTTATAATTCTCCCTCCTATTTCTAGGCATTTGAGTTTTCCTTTTTAAAATTAGCATTGCCAAATCTTTGTGGATATCATTTATCTTTTAAAGGAAACAAAGAACATATGCTTCCTAATTAAGTCTATGATTTTTAATAAACCAGTAGAAACCCTTAAACAGTGATTGTGATGAATTATTGGAGACTCAGTAGGAATTAGCTTGAGAGCTAGAAACTCTTGGAAGCCCAGTCCAAGGTGGAGAACACTGTGTGGGAGCATACTGTGGGGCATACGGTGTGTTTTCACTTCCAGAAGCTCCAACCAGTTCTCATATTAAAGATTGGAAAAAAGTCCTGTGTTCCCTACAGAGGAAGAGGAAAAGCAATTGTTTGGAAGTATGCCTGGAGAATAACAAAGCTTGTCTTCTGAGGGAAACTACTTTACCAGAGTCTTACCTGCGCTGGGGAAAATCGGTTAGCCAGCGCCAGCCCCCTCTAGCCTTCCTGTGTCATGTAAGGGGAGTAAACCAAAGGTTAAGAAATCCTTTCAAGGGCACAGCTCAGAGACTGAGATCCAATTAAAAAGCTGAGATTTAATCATAGAATGCTTCCCTTACCAACAATTTGCCCACACATCAACAAAGTTCTAGTGGACTCCAATAATAGTGGATTACAAATGAGAAAGCTTCAAGACACAGTCTCTCTTTAAGAAGAGTTCTAAAGGAAACCCAAAGGCAACAGGGAAAGA